GAGCGGGTAGCCTATCCCTTCCTCCAGCGGATCTTCCCAACCCAGGAATCGAACCGAGGTCTCCTGCATTGCAGGTGGATTCTTTACCAACTGAGCTATCAGGGAACTCAATGGTAAAGAATCTGCCTGCCAATGCAGGAGACCCAGGTTCAATCCCTGGGTCAGGAAGATTCCCCTGGAGAAGAGGATGACAACTCACTCCATTCTGTAGCCCACCAGAGGAGGCTGGTGGGCTACAGTCCATGGGGGCAGCAAAGAGTCAGACACGACTGAGCGACTAAGCACACATGCACACAGGCAAGGAGAACGGGCAGCTCATGTTCGAAAGACAAACTCTCTGATGGTTTTCAGGGGAAGGTTTTTAGGGAAAGGGGTCCTAAGATGAGTACTCAAGTGTAGAGTTAACAGGGTGATGTTTCAGGAATGTCAATCATCAACCTTCTGGTGGTTCCAAGCAGTCTGGCTCTACATGCCAGAGGACAGCATGTCATCGCCAGCCTTCACCTGGAGGAGGGTGGGAGGTCTTATTTTCTGCTGAACAACTCAAAGATATGTGTCAGATGTTATCTATATCCCTTCAGAAGGAACTAGGAGTCCAGTGTCTCTTTTGTTCTCATCATTAACTGCTTAAGCCTGTTCTCCCTGGGGAAGGCCCAGGAGACTACAGCCTTTTTCCTACAAATGAAAAAAGGGGGGCATGGAGGGGCTTTTGTTCTGGGAAGCCCTCACAAGTTCCTGCTTGGTTTCAATTCCCCCTTTTCTTGATGATCCCCAATCCTGAGGGGCACAGGGCCAGGATAGGAAAAGGAATAAAGTTTCCGATAGAAAGATTAATCACAAACTTGGGAAACTGGGTTATTGGGGAAACTCAGTTTCAATACGGCAACATGACAATAACTGTCCAGTACAGGCAGAGGTTATAACAGGTATTCATTGTACTATTACTGTTGAAAGTTTTCTGTGTTAAAAGTTGAAAGAGAGCTTCCCTGGTGACTTAGTGGTAAAGAATCCACCTGCCAATGCAGGAGACACGGGTTCAGTGCCTGGTGCTGGAAGATCCCACATGACACACAGCAGCTGAGCCTGTGTGCCACAACTATAGAGCCCAGGAACTGCAACTACTGAGCTATGTGCTGCAGCTACTGAAGTCTACACACCCTGGAGCCCGTGCTCTGCAACAAGAGAAGTCACCACAACAAGACGCCTGAGCACCACATCTAGAGAGTAATCCATGATCGCTGCAACTAGAGAAAGACTGTGCAGCAATAAAGAGCCAGCACAAGCAATATATATATATATATATATATATAAAAATTGAAAGAAAAAAATTTGCCTTCAAGGAGACAGATAATAAATAAAGTGTGTTTGCATGTGTGTGTGTGTGTGTGTGTGTGTGTGTTCTTGCGTGTGGCTAACGAGAACATGAAACAGGATGAGAATGGGAAAGAGGAAAACAAGTCAGAAAGTATATATGGAGATTCCAGTTTTAAATAGGGTGGTCCAGGGACTTCCCTGATGGACCAGTTGTTAAGAATGCACCTTCCAAAAAAAAAAAGAATCCACCTTCCAGTGAAGGGGACTCAGGTTCGGCTCCTGGAGGAACTAAGATCCCACTTGCCCGTAGGGCAGTTAAGTTCGAGAGCCACAACGAAGACCCAGCACAGCCAAAATGTAAGAGTCAGACACAACTTGGCGACTGAACAACAACAATAATATATAGATAGATAAATACAGCATGATCCAGAAGCTCCACACTGAGATGATGTTTGAATCAAACCCTGGAGAGCAGGCAGTGAGCCAGACTACTTTCTGAAGGAAGATATGGCCTGCCTGGCAGAGGAGACAGAAGAGGCAAAGGCCCTGAGGCAAGAACATGCCTAGCATTTTCCAGGAACAGTAAGAAAGTAAGTGTGAGGTTGGAGCAGAGTGGGCTTGGGCGCGCAGAGGAGGGGACAAGTTCAGAGAGGAGGGAGGGAGGCAGGCAGGTGACACCGGGCGTTGAAGCCACTATAGTCACTATGGCTTTTACGCTGAGTGACCAGGGAAGCCACCACAAGGAAGTGAGCAAGGAATAACTTGGGCCGACTTGTGTATACCTAAACCGGATGCATCTTGCAGGGTGAAGGGGCTATTTATAGCTTCCTTCAGCTTCTCAGAGGAGTCGAGTAAACCACCATAAAACAAAGAGCAGGTGTAATGTTGATCTGTCCTTCAAATCTGTCCCTTTATTTTTTCAATTAGGCAAAAAAGCTTGTGATCCTTTTCTGCCAGGTTCGGGCTTGGTATTTGCCATGGGGAACCCGGGGCAGAAGGAAAGGCGAACCTCCCGGGCACACCGTGCCCAAGCTCCAGGATATGAGGTCTCCCGGGCTCGCCCACCTGCCTTTGGTACCAGGCTGGTGCACGAGCCTGCACTCGACCTCCACTGGCCCAAAGACGTCCTTCCTCGTCGCGGGAGGATCTGCAGCCTTCCCCATTCGCGGCCCCGCGAGTTCACAGTCTCCGCAGGAAGGGGCGGGCCCTGCCGGCTGGCTTTGCAGAGGCCCCGCGTTGCCATAGCGACCCTGGCCGGGCTCTGGACGCCAGAGCACTAGTCTCAGGCAGCGATAGAAGCTGGAGGCTGAGGGCGGCGACCCCATTGCTGTTTGCCTGGGACTCCAGATCCAGACTCCGCCCCGCAGGAGAGCGCAGGTGAGCGGTCGCAGGTGTGACGGGGAGGGGGCGAGCACCTAACCTTCAGCCGTCTGAGCCCCTCTCGTTCCACCTTCCCTGGTGGTAATATTGTTATTCAGTATCAAAACAAGCCGAGCAGAGTCCGCATACCGCGCTGTAAAACTTTTTTCCTTTTTTCATTTTTTTCCTGGCCACGCTGCACGGCTTGCGGAATCTGACCAGGGAGCCCACCCGTGCCCCAGCAGTCAAAGCGCCTAGTCCTAACCATTGGACCACCAGGGAATTCCCCAAAGCTTTCTTTTCCTATCAGAAGGTCTATGTATTAAGACCACGGCCTTCTCTAGGGTAGAATTTAAGTTCTTGAAAGTTAGGACAGAGGATGTGTTACACTGATGAAGGGTAACCACCCAATGATGTCGTAAGAAAGTTATTAGATTTTGGGTTCTCTTAAAATTCTGAGTAAGCCAAGGAGAAAGTGTCATCTTGAGGCTAATGTGGCATTAATACCTTAACATTTGCCAATCTCAACTGTAAGCCCCAGTATCTAGCTAAGGCTTAAGAAATGATCATAAAATCTCTTTCTTGGATAAATGTATTGAATTTTAAAGTGAATTAATTTCAATATAAAGACTAATCATGGACCACCCTGATGGTCCAGTGGTTAAGACTCCAAGCTTCTAATGCAAAGAGCGTGGGTTCGATCCCTGGTCAGGGAATTAAGATCCCACATGCTGCACAGCATGGCTAAAAAAAAAAAAAAAAAAAAAAAGATTAATCACAGTACTCATGGTAGACGCAAATGGGAGGGGGAAAAAAGAAAAACATTAAATTTAGGTCCTGAGACTGTTTACCTCTGCCCAGTTCATGCCCTGGATGTCTTCCTTGCTTTGAGTGCCTTTCCCAATTCCTGGGAATGATTGCCAAACTACGTACTAGCCAGTGCAGTTGGCCAGCCTAGTCAGACTCCTGGAGGTCCCTGCTGTGTCCCTACAGGGAACTCCCTGATGGACAGGGCCCAGTGCAGAATGAAAATGAGGCCCTGGCTCATGAAGTATTAGGAATTTTTAAAAAGTGACAGCGGAGCCAAGACCAAGCACATACCTTTCTACGGACCAGGCCCTGTGCAGCTATTCAGGTTGGACATCTGTGATGCTGGCCCTGAATGGGTGGATGCCTGGAACACCATGATTTCCTGAAACCTGCTCAGTCTTGAGGTCATACTCATTGGTCAATAACTCTGCCTGCTGATGGTTAAATAGTTCTCTGCACTGGGCAGGGAGGGTAGGAGAGCCCTGGTCTGATGGAAAAAAAACCTAACCAGGCAGACAGGAAGAGTACCTAAGCAGAGGGCAGAGGTCAGAGGTAGCAGGGTGATCAATCGTCCTGGTGTGTCTGGGGCTGTCCCAGTTCTAGCTCTGAAAGTTCAGTGTCCTAGGAAGCCTCTCAGTCCCAGGGGAAGCGGGACAGGTGGTCATCCTAGAGATAGTATCTTTAGTTGGCGGGCTCTGCTGACAGCTCACAAACACCTGCAAAGCCAGCCCCTGGGCTTTTCCACCAGAGGCAGGGCCTGGGGGCTAAACTGCTAGATGCTGAACCAGTGGTGGTAATGGGATGTCCCTGGGGGCCGTGCCAGAGGACTGTCTGCCCGCCCAGACAAGAGTGGCCTGGCTAAGTCCCAACTCCCCCGTAGTGGGTCCCAGTGCTCACCACTCCAGCATCCACTCTGATTGGTCATGAGTGAGTGAATGAGTGTTAGTTGTTCACTTATGTTCTTTGCAACCCCATGGACTGTAGCTCATCAGGTTCCTCTGTCCATGGAATTCACCAGGCAAGAACACTGGAGTGTGTTGCCATTCCCTTCTCCAGAGGACCTTCCCAACCCAGGGATGGAACCTAGGTCTCCCACATCACAGGTACATTCTTTACCATCTGAGCCACCAGGGAAGCCCCTGACTGGTCATACCAGTTATTAATGTGACTTTCACCCTCTGCCCAGGGCAACTTCTTCCTGCTGTCATCACAAACCCTCTGATCTACTGGTTTCCCTGGGTTCCATCCCAAGCAATTGTGGCATCAGGTTCCCCACCCCAGGGGGCCCCTAGGGAGGCAAGGGAGGAGACATCTGAGCATCAGTCCAGCACAAAAGAATCCCCCGAAAGGGCTGCTCATCTGCCCCGGGCACTCAGAACACACATGACTCACTCCACCTGACCTCAGACAAGTGTCTCTCCAGGAAATCCCAGGTCCCAGCATTTCTTGGAGCAAACTGAACCCCTGATGTCCCTAACCCTTTGCTAGCACCCTCTGGCCCCACAGAAGCAGCCAACATGCCTATCTTCAAGTGCCCGCAAAAGTCGGAGCCCCTGTGGAAGGAGTGGGACAAGAAGGCCCAGAAGAATGGACTGAGGCACCAAGTGTTCGCTGTCAATGGCGACCACTACGTGGGCGAGTGGAAGGACAACATGAAACACGGTAAGTGGGGGGCCCTTGGGGGCTCAGGCGGTGAGTATGGGGTCTGGGTCACGGTGGACCACTGGGGCCAAGGGAGCAGCTTGCAGAGCTCACTGGGGACATAAGATATATCGCCGAGGGGTGAATGCTGACTAGGACCAGCCAGGGGCATCCTCATGCTGGGGCTCTGAAATCCAATTCAAGCCTGGCTTCAGGTGAGCAGAGGGGCCAGCAGGAAACGAAGCTGTCTTTAGACACCAGCCACAGCCTCAGCTGGGACTCCCAGGACAGCAGCTCATTCTCTACCCTCTGAGACCTGCACTAAGCATGGAACTGGCTAGCAGGAGGAAAAGGTGGCCTCCAGAAACCACCTTGCAACTGGGATTCTGGCCTTCAAGCTCAGTCCTTCAAACCAGCAGGGGGCGAAGTAGGTCATCTCCCACCACATCTCCACCCTGCAGTGGCTGGGGCTCCCAGGGTGGAGTATGGACTCCTTGTGATAACAAAGTGAGCCCTGAAGAAAGAAAAACAAAGTTTTTATTCAAAAAAGGTGTTATGGCTTCTCTGTCTAGTCTTGCAATTCCAGATTCTTAGCTCTTGGCCACTCTTCTCTCTTGCCTTCCTGCGTTAAGTGCTTGAGTCCATAAACCTGGGTCAATCTCAGCTCCATCAGCTGTGACCTTGAGAGATCTACACCACTCTGAGCCTCAGTCTCCCCATCTGTAAAATGGGAATAATACCTATCTGTTAAGATAAGAGTTACCATCTATCAAATATGTAGCCAAGGATCTGTGCAGAAGGGGAACTTCTTGAATGTTCTCTGAGGGCTGAGCATGGCACAGGACATTATTCAGACTTTCCTTGTCCAAGAAGCCCCCCGCGCATAACAAAACACCCACCCTCAGCACTGACTTAAAGGCAAAGTTTTACGCAGCTGCCTGGAGCTCTTTGTGTGGTTAAGGATGACTGCCTGTGTTTTTCAGTCTTTGTGGGCAGCCTGTGGTGTGGACAGATCCCTGGACTAAGAGTCAGGACCCTGAAGTTCTGAGCCTGGCTCTATTACTGAGAGGCTGTGTGACTTTGGATAAGTCATTTCCCATTGTCTGAACTTGGCTGCCCTACCTGTGATATGACCTTGTGGGCTGGTATAAACAACTCTTCATCCCCTACAGTGTGACTGGACCCTGCCTCAAGGGCAAACATCAATGATAGCATCTTTTCTATTTCCAGGCATTGTCCTAAGTATTATACATATATTAATGAATTTAGTGACCAGAACAACCCCATGAGATCTTCTTGTCCCCATTTTACAGATGAGGAACCTGAGGCCCAGAGAGTTAAGTTACTTGCACTAGATCAAAAAGCTCACAGAGACGATGCTGGGTTTGTTCCTGAGCTATCAAGGACTGAGACATAAGTTGGCACGCATAGGTACTCCACACATATTGTATTCATCCCTTTGTTTAACAAATATTGGTCACCTCCAAAATGCCAGGCACTGTTCTTCTGTGCTGGAAATAGAGCAGTGAACAGAACAGACCAGTCTGTGCCCTTGTGAAGTGTACATTCTCCTGGAAGACACAGACAGTAGACAATACATGATAAATAAGTGAATTATCTATTATGTTAGGAGTTAAGTGATGTGGAAAGAAATAGAACAGGGTAAGGGGTTAAAAGAAGCTTATATTAATTTTTTTCAATATTTATTTATTTGGCTGGGCTGGGTCTTAGCTGCAGCATGCAGTATCTTCAATCATTGTTACAGTATATGCAGGATCTAGGTCCCTGACCAGGGATGGAACCTGGGTCCCCAGCATTGGGAGCGAAGAGTCTTAGCCATTGGACCAGCAGGGAAGTCCAGAAGCTTATATTAAATAATTTTAAGTGAGATGGTCAATGAGAAAATGATATTTGAGTAAAGACTTGCAGGAGGTAGGGAGTGAGTGAATATATTTGGGGAAGAGTTTTCCAGGCCAGAGGAGAAGCAGGTACAAAAGCCTTGAGGCAGAAGCATACCTGCTGGGTTCCAGGAATGACCCGGCCACCAGGAATTGGAGGGTAGAATGGAAAATGGGAGTGGAGGACACAGAAGGGGTTGGAGTATAATAGTAGGAGGTGGGTCTCCATGTATAATCAGAACTGAAGAAATATGCAGAACATTCTCCAGAAATCCTGACCATCTGGTGTATACACTCAGTATTACTAAAAGATGGAGCTGAAACACCAAAGGGGAAAATTTCTGCTTGGTGTTTGCTATATGGGTTTGGTGTCAGGGCAAAGCACTGTAGAAATAGACCTCTCTTGGAGTTTCTCCGGGTGCTAGGGAGAGGGTAGTCTACATACGAGGCAGATTCCCCTCTCAGTCCTTAAGAACCGTCCAGTCCAGGTGCCCAAGGCCCAGGCAGACAGAGCACCTGTCTCCCCGCACCGGCCCCATGCAGGCCATGTTTGCAGTGTTGGCCCATCTTTGTGTCACCAGGGAAAGGAACACAGGTCTGGAAGAAGAACGGAGCCATCTATGAGGGGGACTGGAAGTCTGGGAAGCGAGATGGCTATGGCACCCTCAGCCTTCCTGACCAAGAGACCGGAAAGTACAAGAGAGTCTACTCAGGCTGGTGGAAAGGCGATAAGAAATGTGTGAGTGGTTCCCATCATGCTCTGGGGTATGGGCCAGGCTGAAAGAAGCCTGTGTGTGTGTGTGTGTGTGTGTGTGTGTGTGTGTGTGTGTGTGTGTAGGGGGAGCAGTCAGAGAGGCCTGGGAAAAAGGGAGGGGGATCTAGGGGAGGAGAACAGGGTTCTGCGTGGGTGGGAGAAGGAAGGGGTGGGGAAACCATCAAGACTTCTCAGAACAAAACCCAGAAACAGGAAGCAGGAGGAGAGGGCCCAGGGAGGAGCCCCTGAAACCCTGTGGCTACAAGAAGCCAGCCAGCCTGTGAGGGGCAAAGTCTCCTCCCCCACCTCCTCAACTCATTTCCTGGCTTTCTTTTCCCCTGGCATCCCTTTCTGAGAATACCCCTTCTGTTGGGACTGGATAAGAGGTGGGGGGGGGGGGCGCGAAATGAGAGCAAGAAAGAAAGCAGAAGCTACACCCTTTGCTAAGAGAAGGTGGTCCTGAGGGCTAGAAGGCAACCAGAGGCATGCCCCCAACCCATAAACACCTGACTCCTCACCACAGGTCATGGGGACAGATATCATACAGTACTGCTATTGAACAACTGCTATTATGATCCTGGAATATGATATATTGTAGAACTGCACATCAACATCGTCGTCATCATCATCATTATTTTCCTCTTACTGATGAGGAAACATGCTCAGAAAGGTGCAGCAGGTGAAATGCCTCGCCTGGGGTCACACTGCTGGCAAGCTGTAGACCCGAGGATTTCATGATCTCTGCTCTCAAAATGTTTCTGGGCCAGTGGGGGACAAAGATCCCCAAATAAATAATTTATATTGTATAATATGGTGCTAGGATTGAGGTTTTCACAGAAAGTCCAATGGAAGTCCACTGAGAATTCAGGGCAGGCTTCCTGTAGAAGGTGACACCATAAGATGCAAGGTGTTAGGGAGTAAAAAAGGAGAAGGGGAAGTAGCAAAGGCTGCAGAAGTTGTTAAAGGAAGGAAATATTAACCAGCAAGGTGTGTCTACCCACAGGGGTGGCAGAGAGAGGAGGGGTAGGAGGGGGCCTTGAAGGTTATGTGGGGGATTAAGAATTTTTGAGGAGTAGACTTGGGCTGCATAAGCCAGCCCCTTCAGGTGTGATCTGTGGGGACCCCATGGTGACTCTGCGGTCGCATGATAAGCGCTCATGTTCATTTTTCTGGGGAGAAAGTCCATAGCTTTGATCTCATTGCCAGGCATCTGCGACTTTTAATAGAGTCAAATCAGAGTTGGGAAGACAGAACAAACGTGATCAGACAGGCCATGTAAAAGGTCCTCCCAACAGTCATATGGCAGATGCATGGGATGAGGGGGAGAACGGGAGAGTGGAGGAGGAAGATCAGTGAGAAGGGGCGAAATGATGGTGGGCTGAAGGAAGGCGGTAGCATAAGGGTAGCGGGAAATGGAAGGCCTGGGAGATTTTACAAAACAGGACCGTCAGCTTGGATGTAGGTCTTGGGGAGGAAGCAAGGAAGAAGTCCGGGTGTTTGGGTACCAGGGAGTTTGGTGGGAGTTCCCAGTGCTGTGGGGCGCCATGAACAAGGACACCTTCGTGCTTTCAGGGCTATGGGATCCAGTTTTTCGGACCCAAGGAGTATTATGAGGGTGACTGGTGTGGCAACCAGCGCAGCGGGTGGGGCCGCATGTACTACAGCAACGGAGACATCTACGAGGGCCAGTGGCGTAACGACAAGCCAGAAGGGGAAGGCATGTTGCGCCTGAGTGAGTGTCCAGCCCCTTCCCAGTGGCCTGCTGGCCACGCCCACTCGGCCACCCCCTCAAGGTCCACTCCTCCTGACCCTGCAAGGCCGGGCCCTGGCCACGCCCATCGGGCCACGCCCCCGCATAGCCCTGCTCGGGCTGGCGGGTTAAGGTGAGTGACAGGAGACAAGACCGGGTCCCTGCCCTCGGGGAGTTTATACTCTAAAAGGGGTGCCTAGAGTTGGACACGATTGATGTGACTTAGCAGCAGCAGCAATAAATATAAACAAGTAAGACTTTGTCTTTTGGTCCATAGTAATCATAGCCCACACTTAGGCAGCCCTGAGCTTATTATATCCACACTACAATTCTGTACCGGGAGCTGACTGTGGCTTAGATCATGAACTCCTTAACGCAAAATTCAGACTTAAATTGAAGAAAGTAGGGAAAACAAATAGACCATTCAGGTATGACCTAAATCAAATACCTTACAATTATACAGTGCAAGTGACAAATAGTTTCAAGGAATTATATTTGAAAGACAAGAGTGCCTGAACAACTATGGACGGTGGTTGGTAACATTGTACAAGAGGTGGTGATCAAAACCTTCCCCAAGAAAAAGAAATGCAAAAAGGCAAAATGGTTGTCTGATGAGGCCTTACAAGTTAGCTGAGAAAAGAAGAGAAGCAAAAGGCAAAGGAGAAAAGGAAAGATATACCCATCTGAATGCAGAGTTTCAAAGAATAGCAAGGAGAGATAAGAAAGCCTTCCTAAGTGAACAGTGCAAAGAAATAGAGGAAAACAATAGAATGGGAAAGACTAGAGATCTCTTCAAGAAAATTAGAGATACCAAGGGAACATTTCATGCAAAGATGGGCACAATAAAGGACAGAAATGGTATGCACCTAAGAGAAGCAGAAGAGATTAAGAAGAGGTGGCAAGAATATACAGAAGAACTATACAAAAAAGAGCTTAATGATCCAAATAACCACGATGGTATTATCACTCACCTAGAGTCCATAAATTTAGCATCATTGTCCCTTCAGACTGTGACCTGCAGAAGGACTGGGACTGTGTCTGTTTTGTTCCCTACTGTTTCCCCCAGTGCCTGCTGTGTAGTAGATACTCTTGGTGAGGACACAAACCAGAACCTAGGCTCCTGAAAACTGGGGAGGGTCAAGGCAGCCACTCTGTCATTCTTAATCCTCCTTACACCCTGCTTCCATTCCTGATTTTAGTGTGTATCTCCTACTAATAGCCTGCATTTAGTGAGTGCCTGCTGTGGCCCACACAGGGAAGGAGTTTTAAGTGCAGGCTTTCTAAGGCTTGGAGTCTGGAACCAGCTCTTACTAGTTGTGGGCCCTTTGGCAATTAACCTCCTTAAACTCTGTATGCATTGGTTTTCTCAACTGTAAAGTAAGGGAAAAATAAAGCTTACCTAAAGTTATTGTGAAGATTAAGGGAGGTTTATATTTGTAAAATGCTTAGCATGACACAGAATAAATAGTAAGCGCTCAGTATCAGTACATACTTGTATAGCAGAGCTCAGCAAACTATGGGCCAAATCCAGCCCCGAACATGTTTTTGTAAATAAAGTTTTGTTGGCACACAGATGTGCTCGTTCACTTATGTATTGTTCAATGGCAGAGGTGACCATCTGTGGCAGAGACCCGGAGTGCTGAAAATCCTATCTGCCACTTTGCAGAAAAGGTTTGTTGATCTCTGATCTGGAGTTTATCCAGTACTTTTCTAAGCCCTTTTTGTGTACAGATTCATTTAATCTTTACAATAATTTAATGAGGGAGGTGCTACTCTGGTCCTCATTTTACAAATGAGGAAATGAGACAAAATGGCTGCATGACTTGCTCAGGGTCACACAGCTCATAAGTGTCTGAGCTGAGACATGTTAGATTTATCATTATTATTTTTACAGCATCACCACCATCCAATGGGAAGTGGAATTGATTCCCAGTTAAGAGCAGGGGCTCCTGGGATGAACAGGATTTGGTTTGAAACCCTTCCTAGTTCTGTGACCTTGAGCAAATCAATCAAATCTCTGGAGCTTTTCAAGTTTCATGTATAAAATGGAATCCTTTATCCTTCACAGAACTGTTTTTGTGAAAAGTGAGGTCAGAAGCAGCATGGAATCTGGCACAGAGTAAGTGCTGGAAAAGCACTGCCTGTTAGTATCATTAGCTGTATTTTTTACAGGCAGGAAACGATGTCGCTTATCTAAGTTCAAGTAGGTAGTTGAGGTGAGGTGATATGTGAATCAGGTCTGAAACCACTGACACCCCAGGGGTCTATGGCTTTCTGGTGGGCGTGATGTCTAGCCTGGGAGTGGCAGAAGGTCCAGCCCGGTGGGTGGGGGAATGTGGTGGGCCAGCACCCATGACCCCCTGTCTTTTCCCCTCAGAGAATGGGAACCGCTATGAAGGCAATTGGCAGAGAGGTGTGAAGAATGGGTCCGGGCGTTTCTTCCACCTGGACCATGGTCAGCTGTTTGAAGGCTTCTGGGTGGACGACGTGGCCAAGTGTGGCACAATGATTGACTTCGGCCGCGATGAGGCCCCCCAGCCCACCCAGTTCCCCATTCCTGAGGTGGGCAGCTCTCCCCAGGATCCTGGAACCACACCCAACCTACAGACAGGAAACAGCAGCCCCCCGCCAGCCACACCCAACTTAACTCAGCCCAGCCCAGTCAGGAAACAGACAAGGTTTTGTTTTGAGTCAGGGCATCCTCAGGGAGACTGGCAGTACCCCCCACAAAGCAGGCAGCACCCCCAAGGTTGGCGGTACCCCCACAGGGCGGGCAGCGTCCCAAAGGCTGACAGCCTGGGTCTTCTCCACACTCCTCAGACCAACCCCTGCTACTTCCCTCCAGGTCAAAATTCTAGATCCCGACGGTGTGTTGGAGGAAGCCTTGGCTATGTTCAAGAAGACAGAAGAAGAAGGAGACTGATGCCAGGTGAGAGGCGGGCATGCCAGCCACCCTCTGATGTGGTCTGGGCAGCTCCTGGGCTCTCCTCTGGCCAGGAAAGATCAGGGGCAGGGCCACACAGGACTTTACCTCGAGTCCTGCTGGTCGTTTTTGCTTCCTCTCCTTGGAATCTCTTTTCCCTGGGAGCTCTGTGGTGGTTCTGTGCGTAAATAAGAATCTGTGCTCCCAATGCAGGGGGCACAGGTTCAGTCCTTGGTTGGGGAGCTCAGATCCTGCATGCTGCCTGGTGTGGCCAAATGAACGCGCAAACACACACCCTCTTTTCCCTATAGACGTCCTGCCCAGATCCTCCCACTGTGGGCTTATGGGATTGGACTCAGGAGCTCTGCTCACCCCAGAGTGCCCTTGAGTACCGATGTTTGCCCCGGTCCTCTACTTGCCCATCTGTCCTGTGGGGCCTTTTTCCGTGCAGTCCCTCCCAGTGGGTATAAGTAGGGTCGAGGAGAGAGCACTGGTACAACATCTTTGAAACGCCAGCTCCCACCACTCCTCACCCCTGCAGAGAGATCACCAGCACTTCAGGAGGAATTCAAACCGGAGTCACCCAACTGCTCGGACTGGTGTGGCTCCCGTTGGAGGAGCAAGTGGGGACACACCCTTGGCACCCTCAGAAGGCACCTTACTCCTCCCAGCACTGGCTCATTCCTTCCTGGAAGGAGGCCAGTGCTTCTCTTCCCTGATGGCCTTGGGGACCCTCTTGTTACCGCCTTTTTTTCTTGGACCTCATCTCTGAGTGCACCAGAATAAAGGAGGACCCTGGTGGCAAGAGCCGGATGCCTACAGTGGGTGGAGGTGGGGGGGTGGTGTGCAGGGTCCCTTGGGAAGGATTTCAGGTGGAGAAGTGAAATGTCCCCACGGGCCACATGGATTTCCCTTGGGGCAAAGTGGGGTGGTGCTTCCAGGTCTCTGATCTCTGATGAGATAACTGATCTCTGTCTCATTCCAGAAATGAGACAGAGCCTGCATCAGGCTCCACTCGTCATTAAGATTCGTCATTGAAACGTGACCTGGCTTCTCACCCTAACACAGGAGCTCCCAACCTTGGAATCCCGTGGGAGATGTAAAAGCTAAGAATGCCCAGATTTCACACCCAGAGAGCCTCATCTGTCTAGGATGAGGCCTGGGCCTTCCAGAAGTCCCCCAGCTTGACTCTAATGTGCAGCTGGGGCACAGAACTTCTGACTTACTGGCTTTGTGAACCTAAACAAGTGACCTCAGTTGCCCTGTCTGTAAAATGGGAACCTCAGAGATCTCATGGGGGGGGTGGTGGGGGTGGGGTGTTGTGAGGATCTGCTGGCAGATATAAAAACAACAGATAACATGAGGTTATTGAGGTGAGTTGTAAGCAGATATCCGGGAAAGGCTTTGCAAAATTTTGGACAACATTCCTGCAAGATAAGAGCACCTCTTACATAATGTTTAGGAATAGGAGTTCTGCAGTCAAACTGCTGCAGAATGTGAATCCCAGCACTGATTTCTTAGCTGTGTGTTCTTGTGTACGTCACCCACCCTCTCTGTTCTCTAGGTTTCCTCTCCTAGTATGGGACAATAATAGTACTTACCACCCAGAGTTACTGTGGTACTGGAAGAATGAAATAAGGTGTGGTTCTAATCTGAGGGTAATTCTGTCCCCCTTCCTTCCCAGGGGACATCTGGCCAAGTCTAGAGACACTTTCGGTTGTCACAGCTGGCAGGGAAGAGTCCTACTGGTACCCAGTGGGTAGAGGTTGGGAACCTGCTGAACATGTTATAATGTAAACACTCCACAGAAGAATCCAACCCAACTTCACTGGTATAAAACCATGAAAGAACGCTGAAATATCAGTGTTCATAAAGCCCTCGGCAAATGCCCACCACACAATCAAGGGCCCAGAAAAGTGTTCACTGACATTATGGAGATTCTCTCTGCCATCGGAACCCTAAGCAGGTGGCCTGATCCACAGCAGGGTTCTCAGTTGGTACCTCTGAGGCCAGGAAGCTGAGCCTGGTTGCCTCTGGACACACCATTAACCAGATACAGAGCCACTCACTGCCAGGCCCAGTGCTGACAGCTTTACATGAGTGCTCTCTCGTGATCCCTCAACGACCTATGAGATGTCCTGCTATTATTCATGTCATTTTAGAAGGAACTGAGGTTCAGGGAGGCTCACAAGTCATCAAATTAGAAACTGCCTGTGCTTAAACTTAGGCCTGTCTGCTCAGTTGAGAACAGGTGGCGGTGAGAACAGTAGCAATGTGTATAGACTTTTTTTTTTTTAAGAAGAAGTAGGGTGTGTTCTTGTTTATGTATAAAATCTCTAGACGGTATCAAAATATACTGGCAACTGTGGTTATTTCTATGGAGAATTGGGAACCTGGAAACAGGGGAGCAATAGCAATTTTTCACTGCTGTATTTGGAACCTATGAACATATTATCTATTCAAAACATCAAATTGATATTAAAGACTGTTCTTTTAACTGTCCATGTTTCCCTCACAAGTTGCCTGCATTTGAGTACCTGGAGTGCTAGTTACAGAGAGATTCCAGGGAATTCCCTGCAGGTCCAGTGGTTAGAAATTGGCATTTTCAAGGCAAAAAGATTCCAGAGACATACCCAGACCAACTTAAATTGGAATCTGCAGTAGGGAAGATTCCAATAGATTGGAAATCCTCCTTTTACAAGCCAATCTGATGATTCCTGAGTTCAGCCAAGTTAAGAAAAGAAAACCAAACACTCAGAAAAGACTCTACCTGGACCACAGGTCTCTGCAGAAGCAGGGAGCTGGGGATCTCAGAGAAGGATGGAAGAAGATGCCCAGGTCTTCTCTGGGGAGCCAGTGATTTTTCACACAGGGGTACCTGCTCCACCCTACTCAGTCCCAGTCAGAGGGCCATCTGGGGACAGAAGAGGGGGTGGGTCTTGGTACATGTGATACAGGACAGAGGCTAGAAGCTGCAATAGGAAAAAGAAGCGCTCCCTTCCCCACTCAGCCCACCAAGCTGCTGTTGGCCATGTCCGTATTTACAGAAGGACAAGAGCTTAAGGAAGGCCATGCATGTGCGCTAAGTTGCTTCAGTCGTGTCCGACTCTTTGCGACCCCATGGACTGTAGCTGGCCGGGCTCCTTTGTCCATAGGATTCTCTGGGAAAGAATACTGGAGTGGACTGTCATGCCCTCCTCCAGGAGATCTTCCAGACCCAGAGATCAAACCCATGTCTCCTGCATCTCTTGCATATTCTTTACCAACTGAGTCACCTAGGAAGCCCAAGGAAGGCCACGCTTTCCCCCACGAACTCTCACTTCGTTCGGTCAGAGCACTTTGTTTTTGTAAAACCACTTTCTACGTCAGGGTTATGGGACAGAACAGGGTTAACTCAAAGGCCCTCTGGGCCAGACAAGTAACTTAGGAAGCTGGGCTGGTTATACAATAGGGAGTGGAGGGGGCTATGGCAAATTCATTTCCTGGGAAGAAGGAGCTGCAACTCAGCTCCTGTTCATTGTGGCTCTGCAAGAAGGTAGGCCAGTAATGCCACTGCTGGATCTTCCAGTTTCTTCAGCAATGCCAGGATCAGCTGATGTAAGATTTCTGGGAGTGTCTAAGCTCCAAGCCAGACTTACTTCCAGGTTTGAATTCTGCCCAATAATTACTTACCCTCTTTAGACAACAATTTCTTGTCATCTGCAAAATGGAGATAAAATTCCTGCCAAAATGCACAACCTGATCATAAAAATGAGGAAATACCAGAGAAACTAGATGGAGGTTGCATTCTACAAAGCCACTGGCTTAAACTCTTCAAAAATGTTATTAAAGAGGACAAAGAAAGGCTGTTCCAAATTAAAGATGACTAAAGAGGGACTTTCTTGAAGGTCCAGTGGTTGAGACTTCACCTTCTACTGCAGGGGATGAAGGTTCAATACCTGGTTGGGGAGCTAGGATCCCACATGCCTCATGGCCGAAAAACCAAAACATAAAAACAGAAGCAGTGTTGTAAAGGCAATCAAAGGGACATGACAACTTATTGCAACACATGATCCTGGATGGAAAAATCACTGCAAGAAAGGATATGATGGGTATAAGAGCAAAATTGAAAACGTTGTATCAGATAACAGTATCACATCAATGTCAAATTTCCTGAATTTGATCATTGAACTGTGCTTATGTAGAGGAATGTGCTTGATTTTAGAAGGAAATCTGCAACTAATATATGTGGTTCAGAGGGAGACACATATTGGCATCCTCACTATTCAGTTTTGGTATCTGCAAATCTGTCTACTTGCTGAGGTCAAACAAGATGACCCTCTGCCTTAGTTTCAGCTCATGCTGTAAATATCTATCCTTTTCACAGCCTATTTAGCGACTGGGGATGAGGGGACGATGGGGCCCCCTGAGCCACCTTCCCCACAGGCCTTCCCAGTCGTCCCAGAGTCAGTAGTGGCGCATTGCCACAGTAGAAATGCGCCCAGTGGCGCCTGGTCGCCTGTCAGGGGGCTACTGACATATCCCCCCTGCCACCACCCACCTCCACCTGGAGAGGAGGGAGAGGTGAGGGTTGGAGAGAGGGCAGGGTTTTGGGGTTTTAAAAGCCTTCATATTTTTGGGCTTTTAAAAGTTGGTGATTTCACTATTTAAAATGACCCCCAAGGGTAGCAACAAAGCACTGTCTATAGTGTTCGGAGCACAGGAAGATTGACATGCCTTATGGGGAATGTATGTGTGTGTTACAAATAAGTGACGGTGCTGTTGTGATAATGTATAAGTTCAATGTTATTAAGGTATCTTTAAAAAATATATTTTAAGTAAGGTGTCTTTAAAAAGAAACATGCAGTGAGTTCCCTGGTGGTCCAGTAGTGAGGACTTTGCCTTTCAATGCCCACAGCGGGTGCAGGTTCAATCCCTGGTAGGGGAGCTAAGATCCCACATGCTGCCTGTCCAAAAAACCAAAACAGAAGCAGTACTATAACAAATTCAATAAAGACTTAAAAAAAAAAGAAGGTCCATATCAAAAAAACAACAACAAAAAACGTGACCAGATGCTCGCAGGAACCTAACCCCTTTCTCTTAGGAGCAGTGGTTCAGCATTCAATTAATTCAGTGTTCTGTAACTATAAAACAGAACTGTGAATGATAAGAACTGCCTACATAGACATTTCAGTTACTGCTCATGCAACTTTTTCGGATAGGTTGGAAATACACCAAAATGTTGATTTTTTTTTTTTTTTTTTGCTTAGAGGCTCACCTGCCTGGGCCACCCACTGGGAGAAACACCAGGCAGTTCAGACCCAACAAATACAGACACAAGAGGAGGTGTCCCTTATGAGTATATTTCTGTGTTCACACACGCGCACACACGCATACCACCGACGCTGAACGGGGAGGGAGGGTCAAGACGGAAAGAACAGGAGGCACCCAGGTGGTACCTGCTCGGGGGAGGAGGAGAGACAAAGGGAGCGTTTGTCCCCACTCTGGCTCCCGGTGGTGGCCTCTGAGCAGGAGGTGAACCTGGAGCTGGAAGAACAGGAAGTGCTTATTCTCTTAGAGGAAAGTTTCAAAGTGCAGTAACTTCTCTTTAAAAAAAAAAAGCCTCTTTCCTCCACTCTCTGCCTGCCCCTGACGAAAGCCCAGCCCCCTGCACATGCTGTCCTTGAGGCTGGGGCACGACAAGGTTGTGGGGAAGGGCATAAGGCCAAAGCTCTCAACTGCCCAGCCCAGGAAGGGCTTAGGCATAGTGGCTACCCGGGGTCAGGGGGTGGTCCCCTCTGTGGTCTAGCTGGTCCTGCAGGCGGGCAAACTCAGCCAGTTCGTTGAGTTCCTGGAACTGTCGGTCCGTCTTATGGCTGACCAGTGAGCGGTAGAAGTGGACGGCAAAGACGATAAAGATCAGGCCAAAGGGGACCATGATGGTGGTGGAGGCGATGGCGGCGGCCTGGCCCGGGGTGATGCTGCCGGTGCTGCTGACGTTGGCAGGCGCCCCGCCGACCGGGGGTTTGCTGGTGGGCCGCAGCTGGCCTGGCTGCTTTTTAAGGGGCAAGAACTTGACCCAGCAGAGCAGCACGACCTCGGCCAGGAAGAGCAGCGTGCCGATGACGGTGGAGAAGGCCCAGGCCAGCTCGATGTGGCGGTGCATGCGCTCGTGGGGCGACTCCTTGACCGAGTTGAGGTTGTGCACGTTGCTCACAGCCTCGATGTTGGGCAGGATGCAGGTGCTGATCATGAGCGCAAACAGGTGCACGGCCACCAGCACCGTGGTGCAGGCGCTGAAGGCGATGAGCAGCCCCGGAGGGTAGTCGTGGTCAGCGTCCAGTTGTACCTCCACCATTGCCACCTGGGGGGGAGGGCAGGGAGAGGTGGGCTGAGTGACAAGGATGGTCACGGCTCAGAGGCTCTCCTCCCTTCAGGTTCTGGGACCCTGAGTAAGTCACTCCGAGGCCTCAGCTTCTGTTATCTGTATAATGGGGATGACAGACCCACCCACTTAGGGTTGAGAAATGGCAGAAAGTACTGGTAAAGAGGATAGGCTTGAGGCCAGGCTGCCTGGATTTGAATCCCAGTTCTGCTTCTCTTGAGCTGTTTATCTTTGGGAAAGTCACTGAAACTCTCTGAGCCTCAGCATTTTTATTTGTAAAATAGGGACATCATATCAGTTCATAGGCTCATTTTAACAACTGAATGAGAGTTCCTAGTACTGAACTTCCCTGGTGGCTCAGATGGTAAAGAATCTGCCTACAGCGCAGGAGACCTGGATTTGATCCCTGAGTTGGCACGATCCCCTGGAGGAGGAAATGGCAACCTACTCCAGTATCTTGCCTGGAGAATTTCATGGACAGAGAAGTCTGGCAGGCAACAGTCCAGAGAGTCCCAAAGAGATGGACACAACTGAGCAACTAACACTTTCAGTACATGACAAACACCCTCCAAAGAGTAGTCACCACAAATGGTTAAAATGGTAAGCTGTATGTCAATTTTACTATGACTAAAAAAAAAGTTTACATTAATGAAAAAAGGCACCCTCCCTATTGGAGCCACACTCCCATTCCCAAGGAGAGGTTTCTTCTTGCCTTGCTCTGGGCATAAGAAGAGGTGTGGGGTGAAGAGATGAAGGCCCTCCCAGATCATACCAGGCCCTTTCTGAGAACATAGAGCACCAACTACAAAGGAATCAAGAGAGGCTTCCCAGAAGAGACAGGCTATGACAGGGTGCTGCAGTGCAGACCGCAAGCCCTGGGGCCATCTCCTCCTCCGGCCCCAGCGCTGGGCTCAGAGCCCCAGGGCTGACGTACTAGCTGCTCCCCAGTTCCTGGAGACCTGTGGATCCGGGGTTACCAGGGGCATGCTCCAGGCCCCGCCACCCACCTCCTCTCACCTGGGCCTTGCAAATCACCCCCATGTAAAGAAGCCAGCTCATCAGATCTGGGCTGGGAGAAGCGGGTGGTGGGCACACTGCCGAGTGGCTGCCTGCCGAGGCCAGAGACTGGGGCGCAAGTGCCAACAGCAATACCATTAAGGAGAATGACCCTTTATAAAGGGTTCGCTGTTGTATGTGCCAGGCTCAGAAGGGGGAGGTCTGAGGCTGAAATGTACCCACAAGCTCCATACCTGCCCTGATCCCTTCTTACTCCTGGGGAGGGAGTGGATTCCTTCCTTCCAGCTTTCTTGCCTGTAATACCTGGCCCTGTCTGCTTTCATTTCTTGTACCTCCTCAGCCTTCTGAGGCCTGGAAAGGCAGTGTGGGGCAGTGGTTAGGAGCATGGGCTCTGGAGCCAGGCTGCCTGCTTCAAGCCCTGACTCCTCTGCCCTTTATTAGGCTGTTTGACTCTGGCAAGTTCCTTCAACTTTCTGAGCCTTGGTTTCCTCATCTGTAAAAAAAAAAAAAAGGGCTATAGAGGCAATTCCCTGGCACTCCAGTGGTTAGGACTCAGCAATTTCACTGTCGAGGTTTGATCCCTGGTCGGGGAACAAAGATCTTGCGCACTGCACAGCATGGCTGAACAAACAAAAAAACCCAGGGACTTCCCTGGTGGTCCAGTGGCTAAGACTCCATGCTCCCAAAGCAGGGTCACTGGGTTTGATCCCTGGTCGGGGAACTAGATTCCAAGTGCCACATGCCAACAGTCTGCATGCTGCTACTAAAGATTCCATGTGTTACAATGAAGATTGAAGATCTTGAGCACCACAACTAAGACCCAATGCAGCCAAATAAATAAATATTAAAAAAAAAAAAAACAGAATAGTAGTACATAACTCAGAGAGTTGTGAGGACTGAATTAATCCCACATCAAATCCTTGGGCTTCCCTGACAGCTCAATTGGTAAAGAATCTGCCTGCAATGCAGGAGACCCTGGTTTGATTCCTGTATTGGGAAGATCTGCTAAAGAAGGGATAGGCTACCCACTCCAGTATTCTTGGGCTTCCCTGTGACTCAGCTGTGCCTGCAATGTGGGAGATCTGGCTTCGACCCCTGGGTTGGGAAGATCCCCTGGAGGAGGGAAAGGCTACCCCCACTCCAGTATTCTGGCCTGGAGAACCCCATGGGGTCTCAAAGAGTTGAACCGACTGAGTGACTTTCATTTCACTTCAAATTCTTAGTGGCTGGCCTAGTGTAAACCCTCAATAAAAGCTTTATTAGTATCGTTGTAATTCAGTTTAAAAACTTCACTCCCAATCCCAGCATCTCTGTATGAAACGCCCCTGCCTGGGCTGGGTTTCTATCCCCCAACCTGAGCGGAGGACACCAAAGCCAAATTGGCAAGCCTGAGTTTTGGCTCCAGAATCACCCCTGCTTCCCCCTGGATAACTTTGGTCAAAACCCTTTCCCTTTGTCTCTGACAAAGGAGCGGAGGTGGCAAGATTAAGGTCATCATCTAGAGCTGATTTGGGGTCAGATACTTTGAGAATCTGGTGAAAATACTGGATATTTCTTAAGACACCCAGGTATATATAGTCATAGGGCTTTTCAGACAATTTCAACAGGGTTCGCAGACTTTTGTCTTGGAATTCCCACAATTGATGGTTGTATAAACTTCTCAGCCCAGGAGTTTGTAAAATGTTTTAAGTTCACATAAATCTGGGGCAGTGCGCCATGAGGATTTGGGCCATTTTTAGGATCACTGGTGGCCTAAGGCCAATGCTGAGATTTCTTAGCACTTAGGGCATCAGGGCACGGCGGGTTAAGGGCTGTACCCCAGGCTCCCTGGTCTCTGTCCTCAGGCCTGACCACGCTGGAAAAGGGGGGCACCCCCAGCAGGGCATATCTCCTGCCTCCTCCCCACCCCTGGCACTTCCTCTTCCTGTTTTGGCCTGCTGCCCTGGAAGCTGAAACTGGAGAAAGGACGAGCAGGAGAGCCAGCTGCTTAGCTGCTCTAGGCCCACAGGCTATTGTTTCACTCACTGGAAATGTCCAGACCCATCAGGTACATGGGGCCCAGAGCTGGGTACCTATATGGGGAGGGGAGGGGGAATATGCCAACATATACAGTAACCAATCTGTTCCCTTAAACCTGGTATCTCCACCTCTAGAGAGCCATTAAGAGTAAACTGAGTCCTCCACTTACAAAACTGGTAAGCTCTCAGTGCCACAAGGGTTGTTACAAGGATTCAACAGATTAATGAATAAAGCCCTTAGCACAAGACCTGGCATGCATATATACATCTATATTACACTTAAAGCGTCAGTGATGGATACATGCATATGTATGGCTGAGTCACTCCACTATGCACCTGAAACTATCACAACATTGTTAATCGACTATGTGTGTGTGTGTGTGTGTGTCTGTGTGTGTTAGCCGCTCAGTCGTGACCGATTCTGCAACCCCATGGACTGTAACCCGCCAGGCTCCTCTGTCCATGGGATTTCCCAGGCAAGAATACTGGAGTGGATGGCCATTTCCTCCTCTGGGGGATCTTCCTGGCCCACAGACTGAACTCACATCTCCTGTGTCTCCTGCATTGGCAGGCAGATTCTTTACCACTGAGTCACCTGGGAAGCCTATCAATGATTATTAGCAACACTATTATTACGTTTTCACAAATGAGGAAACTGAAGCTCAAGAGAGGTGAAGTCAGCAGTCCCAAGCGTTATTCTGCTGCTGAGTGGAGGATCTATACTTAAGTTCACTTAGCTCTAAAGCCCGTGTGCAAAGGGGTTAACAGCATTTTCCTCACACCTGCTACTACAGACTGAATGTCTGTGAACACTCTAAATTCATATTTGAAATCCTGACCCCCAAGGTGATGGTGTTAGGAGGTAGGGCCTTTGGGGTGATTAGGTCATGAGGGTGGCACCCTTGCAATAGGATTAGCGCCCTTATAAAAGAGAACCCCTAGAGACCCCCTCATCACTTTTGCCCTGTGAGAACACAGCGAGTAGTAAGACAGTGTCTATGAACTAGCAAGTCATCCCCTTACCAGACGCTGCATTTGTTGGCACCTTGATCTTAGACTTCTAGCCTCCTGAACGGTGAGAAATAAATATCTGTTGTTTATAAGCCACCCAAGCTGTGGTATTCTGTTTTAGCAGCCCAGACAGACTAAGACAATCACCAAGGAGATTAAATGAGGTCTTGACATATGTTTAACAAAGGGCCAGCCCACAGAAGGTACTCAATAAATCTCGGTTAAAAAAGAAAAACACAGGGCTTAAAGTGGAAGACGAATAGCTCTTGGACGCCCTCAGCTGAGGCTGGTGAGAGCTGACCCCACGTTCTGTCCCCTAGGGAGGGTGAGGGGCTCAGACGCCCCACTCTGGACCCAGTCTGCCTCTTTCTAAGGCTGTCCCTGCTAGAAACCCTGGGTAGAAGGAGAATGTGTGCCCCAAAGCACAGCTGACCACCACAGCGGGACAGGGACCACCCTTGCCACACCATTTGTCACGCTCCAGAGCCAGAACACTGCAGCTGTTGGGACACACCTGGCCAGGGGACTCCAGAACTTCTCCTGAGGTCCTAAGCTGGGAGGAGGAGGGTAGCTAGGCTGGGCAGCTCAGTGTGCGAACTGAGCTCCTTCAAGAAGGAGGATGGGCTCCAGAAGAAACCCCATCAACCGTGCTGGACCCTACAGTTCCTGGAACTTGACCACACCGGCTGGCTCTAGGTACTGTCCCCACCTGGGGGACCAAGCTCCATGTCCTGGCGCTGTGGGAAGGAATGGCTGACACAGATCAGGTCTTCTGATGAGAACTGTTCACAAGCAGAAAAACGACTGCTTTTTTCAGAATGTGTCCCACTTGGGAAATCTCCCCAAGAGTAGGGAGGGTAAAGCCAGGAGGGCCTCGTGGAATCTGGCAGGCGACTCCCAGGGCCCCAGCTGAGTCCCAGAGAGATCAAATCA